CCCAGGAAGGTGACAACTCACCGATATCTCAGGAAGGTGACAACTCCTCACCGATATCCAGGAAGGTGACAACTCTCCCATATCCCAGGAAGGTGACAACTCCCCCATATCTCAGGTAGGTGACAACTCCCCCATATCTCAGGTAGGTGACAACTCCCCTATCCCAGGAAACTGGTGACAACAACTCCCCCATATCTCAGGTAGGTGACAACTCCCCATATCCCAGGAAGGTGACAACTCTCCCATATCTCAGGAAGGTGACAACTCTCCGATATCTCAGGAAGGTGACAACTCACCCATATCTCAGGAAGGTGACAACTCTCACCGGTATCTCAGGAAGGTGACAACTCCCCCATATCCCAGGAAGGTGACAACTCACCAGTATCTCAGGAAGGTGACAACTCTCCCGATATCTCAAGAAGGTGACAACTCACCATATCTCAAGAAGGTGACAACTCCCCATATCTCAGGAAGGTGACAACTCACCCATATCTCAGGAAGGTGACAACTCTCCGATATCTCAGGAAGGGGACAACTCCCCCATATCTCAGGAAGGGGACAACTCACCGATATCTCAGGAAGGGGACAACTCCCCCATATCTCAGGAAGGTGACAACTCCCCCATATCTCAGGAAGGTGACAACTCCCCCCATATCTCAGGAAGGGGACAACTCTCCGATATCTCAGGAAGGTGACAACTCTCCGATATCTCAGGAAGGTGACAACTCCCCCATATCTCAGGAAGGTGACAACTCCCCCATATCTCAGGAAGGGGACAACTCACCGGTATCTCAGGAAGGTGACAACTCCCCCATATCCCAGAAAGGTGACAACTGCCCCATATCTCAGGAAGGTGACAACTCTCCCATATCCCAGAAGGTGACAACTCCCCCATATCTCAGGAAGGTGACAACTCTCCCATATCCAGGAAGGTGACAACTCTCCCATATCCAGAAAGGTGACAACTCCCCCATATCCCAGGAAGGTGACAACTCTCCCATATCCCAGGAAGGTGACAACTCCCCATATCTCAGGAAGGTGACAACTCCCCGATATCCCAGGAAGGGGACAACTCTCCCATATTCCAGGAAGGGGACAACTCCCCCCCATATCCCAGGAAGGTGACAACTCTCCCATATCCAGGAAGGTGACAACCCCCCATATCTCAGGAAGGTGACAACTCCCCCATATCTCAGGAAGGTGACAACTCACCATATCTCAGGAAGGAAGGTGACAACTCTCCCGATATCCTCAGGAAGGTGACAAACACTCTCCGATATCTCAGGAAGGGGACAACTCCCCCCATATCCAGGAAGGTGACAATATCTCAGTAAGGTGACACTCTCCATATCCAGGAAGGTGACAACTCACCCATATCTCAGGAAGGTGACAACTCACCGATATCTCAGGAAGGTGACAACTCCCCCATATCTCAGGAAAGTGACAACTCCCCCATATCTCAGGAAGGTGACAACTCACCGGTATCTCAGGAAGGGGACAACTCTCCGATATCCCAGGAAGGGGACAACTCCCCCATATCTCAGGAAGGTGACAACTCACCGGTATCTCAGGAAGGTGACAACTCCCCCATATCTCAGGAAGGTGACAACTCCCCCATATCCCAGGAAGGTGACAACTCACCGGTATCTCAGGAAGGTGACAACTCTCCCATATCTCAGGAAAGTGACAACTCACCGGTATCTCAGGAAGGTGACAACTCCCCCATATCTCAGGAAGGTGACAACTCTCCGATATGTCAGGAAGGGACAACTCTCCGATATCTCAGGAAGGGGACAACTCCCCCCATATCCCAGGAAAGGTGACAAACTCCCCCATATCCCAGGAAGGTGACAACTCACCCGGTATCTCAGGAAGGTGACACTCCCCCATATCCAGGAAGGTGACAACTCCCCCGTATCTCAGGAAGGTGACAAACTCCCCCATATCCTCAGGAAGGTGACAACTCACCGGTATCTCAGGAAGGTGACAACTCCCCATATCTCAGGAAGGTGACAACTCACCGGTATCTCAGGAAGGTGACAACTCTCCCCTATCTTCTCAGGAAGGAGACAACTCTCTCCGATATCTCAGGAAGGGGACAACTCCCCCATATCCAGAAAGGTGACAACTCCCCCATATCTCAGGAAGGTGACAACTCACCGGTATCTCAGGAAGGTGACAACTCACCGGTATCTCAGGAAGGTGACAACTCCCCATATCCCCAGGAAGGTGACAACTCACCGGTATCTCAGGAAGGTGACGCTGCCCACGCTGTAGACTGGTGGCTTCTGTTTTGGCTTCTTCATATTGTTGCAGTTTTCTCTCCTCGTGTTAATAATTTTTTCCTTGGATATCAATGAGACGGAGAGATAACAGAAGACAATGTAACACAACGGAATATAATCGCAGATCTCATCATAAACACGGGATAAAAGCTGGTCGGCAGATCGATCTCATATAGTATTGATCGGCTCTATTATTAGGATCGATAATAATCGTCTGATAGTCTGGAGGTTCTTTGTATCGGATTTATTCATCAATGTAAACCAGCCGGCTGCATCATATTCCACAATAAATCTTCGCTCCGGCGTGGATATTAAACCCCCTCCCGTCCGGCCGGCTGTATATAAACGCCCTCCCCGCCTCAAGTCCCGCACTGCTGTGCGTGCTCCCCGGGAGCGTGCAGCAACGCGATCCGGTGCCCGCTGTGTCTCCGGACACCGATCGTCGTACGGGACCTCTATGTGAGGGTCCCGATCATGTGATCAGTGATTGGCCAATCAGTGATCACATGCAGAGTAGTAAGCAAGATGCCACTTCTGACATCATTGCTTACTACGTGTGAAATCTGTGAATGATCACAGAGATCACATGGTACAGGGCCATTCACAACAGCCTTGTACCATGTGACAAGCTGTGACCAATCACAGCTCACTCAGTACTTCTCAATGGCTGCAAGAATGCAGCCAGAGAGAAGGAGAAATGATTCCTCTTACAGCCTTTATGGGTGTACAAGCAATCAGTGTAAAAAAAAAATATTATAATCTTCATCACCCCCCACAAGTAGTACAGTGTCACCATGGAGACCCCCCACTGCTAGGGGGACAGTATGTAGAAAAAACAAAAACAAATAATAATATAAAAAAAAAGTAAAATAAAATGTTTAAACATTATAATTTTTGGTTATAAACTAATTTGGGTTATTTTATTTTATTTTTTTTACTAAAACGATAACTGAATACATTTTGGCCGAGATTTATGAAGAAAGATTATTTATTTGCAAAATTTTATAAGAAAAACACTTCTTTTCAAAATTTTTGGATTTTTTTAATTAATATAGCAAAAAAAAAATAACAATCCCAGCGGTGAATAAATACCACCAAAATAAAGATTTATCTGTCTCCAAAAAATGCTAAAAAATCTGGGTACAGTGTTGCATGACCGCGCAATTGTCATTCAAAGTGTGATAGCGCTGAAAGCTGAAAATGGGCCTGGGGGGGGAAGGGGGGGGTAAGTGTCCGGACCGGAAGGGGGGGGGGGAAGCGTCCGGACCGGAAGGGGGGGGGGGGTGAAGCGTCCGGACCGGAAAGGGGGGAAAGCGTCCGGACCGGAAGGGGGGGAAAGCGTCCGGACCGGAAGGGGGGGGAAAGTGTCCGGACCGGAAGGGGGGGGAAAGCGTCGGGATCGGAAGGGGAGGGAAAGCGTCGAGACCGGGAAGGGGGGGGGGGGGGGAGCGTCGGGACCGGAAGGGGGGGGAAAGCGTCGGGACCGGAAGGGGGGGGGGGGAAAGCGTCGGGACCGGAAGGGGGGGGAAAGCGTCGGGACCGGAAGGGGGGGAAAAGCGTCGGGACCGGAAGGGGGGGGGAAAGCGTCTGGACCGGAAGGGGGGGAAAGCGTCCGGACCGGAAGGGGGGGGAAAGCGTCGGGATCGGAAGGGGGGGGGGAGCGTCGGGACCGGAAGGGGGGGAAAGCGTCGGGACCGGAAGGGGGGGGAAAGCGTCGGGACCGGAAGGGGGCGGAAAGCGTCGGGACCGGAAGGGGGGGGGGAAAAAAAGCGTCGGGACCGGAAGGGGGGGGAAAGCGTCGGGACCGGAAGGGGGGGGGGGAAGCGTCCGGACTGGAAGGGGGTGAAAGTGTCCGGACTGGAAGGGGGGGGAAAGCGTCGGGATCGGAAGGGGAGGGAAAGCGTCGAGACCGGAAGGGGGGGGGGAAAGCGTCGGGACCGGAAGGGGGGGGGGAAGCGTCGGGACCGGAAGGGAGGGGAAGCGTCCGGGCTGGAAGGGGGGGAGGGAAAGTGTCTGGACTGGAAGGGGGGAAAGTGTCCGGACTGGAAGGGGGGGAAAGTGTCCGGACTGGAAGGGGGGAAAGTGTCCGGACTGGAAGGGGGGGGAAAGTGTCCGGACTGGAAGGGGGGGAAAGTGTCCGGACTGGAAGGGGGGAAAGTGTCCGGACTGGAAGGGGGGAAAGTGTCCGGACTGGAAGGGGGTGAAAGTGTCCGGACTGGAAGGGGGGGAAAGTGTCCAGACTGGAAGGGGGGGAAAGTGTCCGGACTGGAAGGGGGGGGGAAGTGTCCGGACTGGAAGGGGGGGGAAGTGTCCGGACTGGAAGGGGGGAAAGTGTGTCCGGACTGGAAGGGGGAAAGTGTCCGGACTGGAAGGGGGGAAAGTGTCCGGACTGGAAGGGGGGGAAAGTGTCCGGACTGGAAGGGGGGGAAAGTGTCCGGACTGGAAGGGGGGGGAAAGTGTCCGGACTGGAAGGGGGGAAAGTGTCCGGACTGGAAGGGGGGGAAAGTGTCCGGACTGGAAGGGGGGAAAGTGTCCGGACTGGAAGGGGGGAAAACGTGTCCGGACTGGAAGGGGGGGGAAAGTGTCCGGACTGGAAGGGGGGGGAAAGTGTCCGGACTGGAAGGGGGGGGAAAAGTGTCCGGACTGGAAGGGGGGGAAGTGTCCGGACTGGAAGGGGGTGAAAAGTGTCCGGACTGGAAGGGGGTGAAAAGTGTCCGGACTGGAAGGGGGGGGAAAGTGTCCGGACTGGAAGGGGGGGAAGTGTCCCGGACTGGAAGGGGGTGAAAGTGTCCGGACTGGAAGGGGGGGGGGGGAAAGTGTCCGGACTGGAAGGGGGGAAAGTGTCCGGACTGGAAGGGGGGGGAAGTGTCCGGACTGGAAGGGGGGGAAAGTGTCCGGACTGGAAGGGGGGAAATTGTCCGGACTGGAAGGGGGGGAAAGTGTCCGGACTGGAAGGGGGGGGAGTGTCCGGACTGGAAGGGGGGGGGGGGAGTGTCTGGACTGGAAGGGGGGGGTGTCCGTACAGGAAGGGGGGGGGGGAGTGTCCGGACTGGAAGTGGTTAAGTAACTTTTTGATACATGTGGTCACCTGGAGGTATATTAGGTGACAGAAGAATTGTTTTGTGAATTAGTGATGAGGATTTGGGAGGAATGGTGGGAAATCCTCGGAGGGGGGGGGACAAGTAGAACTTCCTGTGGGTGATCCTGAGCCATTCCCAGCTATACCAACTCTGGAGCTGGAAGACGGTTTCATGTTTAGTTCATGAATGGTCATACGATAGGCGTCACGTAACAATGGAACGCGGTCATATGATAGGCATCACGTAACAATGGAACGCGGTCATACAATAGGCGTCACGTAACAATGGAACGCGGTCATACAATAGGCGTCACGTAACAATGGAACGCGGTCATACAATAGGCGTCACGTAACAATGGAACACGGTCATACGATGGGCGTCACGTAACAATGGAACGCGGTCATACGATGGGCGTCACGTAACAATGGAACACGGTCATACGATGGGCGTCACGTAACAATGGAACGCGGTCATACGATGGGCGTCACGTAACAATGGAACGCGGTCATACGATAGGCATCACGTAACAATGGAACGCGGTCATACAATAGGCGTCACGTAACAATGGAACGCGGTCATACGATAGGCGTCACGTAACAATGCAACGCGGTCATACATTAGGCGTCACGTAACAATGGAACACGGTCATACAATAGGCGTCACGTAACAATGGAACGCGGTCATATAATAGGCGTCACATAACAATGGAACACGGTCATACGATGGGCGTCATGTAACAATGGAACGCGGTCATACGATAGGCATCACGTAACAATGGAACGCGGTCATACGATGGGCGTCACGTAACAATGGAACGCGGTCATACAATAGGCGTCACGTAACAATGGAACGCGGTCATACGATGGGCGTCACGTAACAATGGAACGCGGTCATACGATGGGCGTCACGTAACAATGGAACGCGGTCATACGATGGGCGTCACGTAACAATGGAACGCGGTCATACGATGGGCGTCACGTAACAATGGAACGCGGTCATACCTGGGCAGCTCGGCTCGGGGGGGTGCAGTGAATGTATCTGGAACGGACTTTCTGCTCCCCGAAGTCAAACTTGAAGCATCCGACACAATTGTACGACTTCTGAGGACGACATACATGAAGTGATGATGAAATCTCATCCAATCATTGTGTTCAGGGTGGAGCTGCATCGTCTGTCTGCTCAGGAAAGGTAGGTGAGCAAAGACTTCACAGAGACAGTAAGTGTTCATTATATCATGAAAATCCGCATTGTAATTAGTTCAAGCATCAAGAGCCCTCAGAATGCATGTCGGGGGGGGGGGGGGGGGGGGGGGGGTACAGTGCCGATTGTACTGGAGACCACTGCATGTAACTGATAGGTCACTAGGCTCAGCCTGGACCACCTACCTCCCTGATGTCACTGATAGTGGAGTGCAGGCATTGGGGGGGGGGGGGGATGTGAGGTGTGAGGTGCATGCATTGGGGGGGGGATGTTAGGTGTGAAGTGCATGCATTGGGGGGGGGGGGTGTCTGAGGTGTGAAGTGCATGCATGGGGGGGGATGTGAGGTGTGAGGTGCATGCATTGTGGGGGATGTGAGGTGTGAAGTGCATGCATTGGGGGGGGGGGGGGGGGGGAGGTGTGAAGTGCATGCATTGGGGGGGGGGTGAGGTGTGAAGTGCATGCATTGGGGGGGGGGTGAGGTGTGAAGTGCATGCATTGGGGGGGGGGTGAGGTGTGAAGTGCATGCATTGGGGGGGGGGGTGAGGTGTGAAGTGCATGCATTGGGGGGGGGGGGGGGGGTGAGGTGTGAAGTGCATGCATTGGGGGGGGAGGTGTGAAGTGCATGCACTGGGGGGGGTGAGGTGTGAAGTGCATGCATTGGGGGGGGGGTGAGGTGTGAAGTGCATGCATTGGGGGGGGGGGTGAGGTGTGAAGTGCATGCATTGGGGGGGGTGAGGTGTGAAGTGCATGCATTTGGGGGATCTGAGGTGTGAAGCGCATGCATTTGGGGGATCTGAGGTGTGAAGTGCATGCATTGGGGGGGGGGGGGGTGAGGTGTGAAGTGCATGCATTGGGGGGGGGGTGTGAGGTGTGAAGTGCATGCATTGGAGGGGGGGGGATCTGAGGTGTGAAGCGCATGCATTTGGGGGATCTGAGGTGTGAAGCGCATGCATTTGGGGGATCTGAGGTGTGAAGTGCATGCATTGGGGGGGGGGGGGGTGAGGTGTGAGGTGAGTGAAGTGCATGCATTGGGGGGGGGGGGGGTGAGGTGTGAAGTGCATGCATTGGGGGGGGGGGGGGGGGGTGAGGTGTGAAGTGCATGCATGGGGGGGGGGGTGAGGTGTGAAGTGCATGCATGGGGGGGGGGGGTGAGGTGTGAAGTGCATGCATTGGGGGGGGGGGGGGGTGTGAGGTGTGAAGTACATGCATTGGGCTGATCTGATCATTAAAATGTCAGCCAAATCCACAGAGAACTGTGATATCTATCTGAGACTGTCCTGTCTGCAGGGTGACAACGCTTTTCGTTTTGCAGTGAAATCACAGCAATGTTGTCACCCTGCGGACAGGAGAGTCTCGGATGGACATGCAGTCGCTGTGTGC